ACTGGCCCTGCGTCTGTGTTAGGGAGACTCACCCTGCGTCTGTGTTGGGGAGACTGGCCCTGCGTCTGTGTTAGGGAGACTCGCCCTGCGTCTGTGTTGGGGAGACTGGCCCTGCGTCTGTGTTAGGGAGACTGGCCCTGCGTCTGTGTTGGGGAGACTGGCCCTGCGTCTGTGTTGGGGAGACTTGCCCTGCGTCTGTGTTAGGCTTTCTGTCATTACTGGGCCACAGATGCTCCCTGGTGTGGGGAAGGAAGCTGAGGCCCAGGGCAGATTCCAGGAGGAAGCTGGGATAGGGACCTGGAGGCAGCAGGGGACAGAGGAGCCCAAGTGGGAAAATAGGAATAATCTGCACATGGTCCTTGGGTGGCAGGACGTATCTGAGAGGAAACAGGGGACGGGAGAGAGGGCACAAGGTGCTGGGGTGGCCTCACCAGCTGGCGTAGAAGTTGCCTAGGGAGAAGGCCACATAGCCACACATGGAGACCACGATGGTCCACTTGCAGCCCAAGATGCGGATGAGTAGTGGTGGCAGGAGCATGGAGGACAGCAGCACCGAGCCGTACAGGGTGCTGAGCGCTGACACGCCCAGGCCTGCCTCGCTGTACAGGCTGCTCTGTGGGGACAGAACTGACCATCAGAGGTGGGGACAGGGCGTTTCGTGTTCTGGGACCTGCCAGCAGCTGCCCTGGGAGTCATTTCTATGGTTGATGGGAGGACACTACAGGCAGAGCCCAATGGCAGCAGTCAGCACTGGGGACTCCAGGGAGGGGAGGTTTCAGCCCAGGGCTTTGCGGCAGCTTGGGGAGGCTACTGCATCGATGGGTTCTGCCTGCAGCAAGGCTGAGGTGCTCGTGGGGCCAGCAGGAAACCGGGCCAGGCTGTCATGAGCAGGCACAGGACAATGTTGGGACTTACAGAGAGAGAACACTCAGCAAAACTGTTTCTTCCTCTAACTGCACTCGTAAGAGGGAGAAGGAAGGGAAGGTGGTGGCTGAGGGTGAGGGGTGTCTGTGTGCCGCGTCCCACCTGTGCCTGACCCTTTGCTGCGCGGGGAGTCCGCACACTCCAGGCCACCGGCTGCACCCTGCAGGACAGAGCGGCTCAAGTGGAGTCTCCTCCCCAGAAGAAGCCAGAGCCCATTTCTTAGGAAACTGCCCCTTAATGTCAACAACGGGCTGGGTACAGAAACAAGAGCCCCCTGCATGTCAGGCCCTCCTGGCCAAGAGACGTGTCATTAAGTGACATAGCAGGACCTCAGCCACCTCTAACGAGCCAAACCCAATTCTGATTCCTTGTGCTTAGGCCTGCCAAGGCTGCCCTGACAAAATGTCACAGATTGGGTCATGGAAACAACACAACTTATTTTTCTCAGAGCACTAGAGTCTAGAAGGAAGAGACCAAGGTGACCTCAGGGTCAGTGCACAGTCTCCCACTTGGGTGTGAGGACAGGTGGATGTGGTCATCCACCATGTGTCTGTGCCTTGATCACTCCCTGTAAGGACCAGCCACCTGGGATTAGGTCCACTTTAACCACCTTGTTTTAACCTGGTCACCTTGGTGCAGGCCCCATCTCCAAACAGGCTCATGTGTGGCCCTGGGAGGTGAGGGTTTCTACATCTATAACTTAGGGCGACACAGTCCAGCCCATAGAACACTTAAAATTCCTTGCTACTTGGTTTTCCTACCAAGACAGACGTCCTGTAATAAGAGGCCTGCTGAGTTCCACTTTCCAAGATGTCCTTCCATGCACTGGCCAGTGCAGCCCCCAGACTCACTCCTCATCAGCACGGCCCTGTCACTCCAACCTTCTTCGTCCCTTGCACTGCCCGGCTCTTCTGACTGTGCTGTCTCTCCAAGCCCAGACGAAGGTCTCTGCCTCCTTCCACCACACACCCGTCCCTGCAGCCCTCTTCTGGCGTCATGGTTTAGGATCTCTCTCTGAACCAGAAATGTGACCTTTCTGCCCATCTCCTGGTCACCCTCAGCGTCACCACAACTGGATGACATCTCTGTGAAGGCAGGGAAAACACTCTGCTTCTAAAAATCTGTCCCAGAGCCTTGTCCAGAGCAGGTACTTAATAATATTCCTTAGTTAATTAAAACTGAAGGCAAGAATGGCCTCTGCCAGAGTTCTTAAATCAGGTTGGGAGGTGGAAATTGAACACTGTTATCTGAAGGGGGTGTGATCTGGAAATTTCTACTTATAACTCGAGTTGCCCAGAGTGTACAGTGAGTGCGCTGGTGTAGCCCAGGCATCTGTTTCCTGATATTTTGCGTTAAATGTGTGTGCACTGATGAGCTTACTGCCTCCATGCACGTTAACGGAAAGTGTGGTGTTTCTCTGGATTGGGGTGTCCTTGCCTCCCATGAGGCTGCTGCAGACTGCTGGGCATGTTTGTCATTTACAGGGGAGCTTGACTGTGAGCCACTGGGAGAGAAAGACACATTATGATAATCACAACAGGAATATAATTTTAAAAGAGAACATCTTTTCCTGTGTGAATGACCGTGTTTAGACACTTGTTCATGCATGTCTAGAAACATATGCACAAGAGCAAAGCCACATGTGTGCTGAACTTCCTGAGACCCTGTGTGAACAACTCCGTTATTCCTACAGTTCTCCAGAAAGGACATCGTCACTGACCACCAGAGGCTGTGGTGATGCAGGAGGAAACTAAAACCCTCACTCACCTCAAGGAGCTGGTGGACGCACAGGGGCTGACAGTGTGTCAGTGAGACCAGCAGCAGGCACCTGCAGTCCATGAGACTGCAGCCAGGAAGGCTTCCAAGCAGGAGCTGGGCTGGCTGAGCCCACATGGATGAGGCAGTGACCCAAAGAGCATGGATGTGCAGGTAAGGAAAGACCAGGGATGTGGGGCTTTCCTGGGACTGTGAAGGAAGCTGGGCAGATATAGAAGGCAGGTGCTGGAGAGAGGGAGGGTGCTGGAGAGAGGAGGGTGCTGGAGAGGAGGGTGCTGGAGAGAGGAGGGTGCTGGAGAGAGGAGGGTGCTGGAGAGAGGAGGGTGCTAGAGAGGAGGGTGCT